TGTGCCCTTGAGGAGCTGGTACATGAAACTTCGCACGGTCATAGGGTCAAGCGCTCCGCGATCGCCGTGTTGGTCCATATACTTCTTGAGATCTTGATCACAATACTCGAAGATAAGGACAAGCTTTGTCTCCGTGTGTATAACATCGTGGAGGCGGACGATGTTGACATGCTTGAGTTCCTTCATGAGGGAAATCTCACGGATGGCGGTGGAGGGTGTCCCTTCCTCTGCGTCAAGATGTATCTCCTTGAGCGCGACGATCTCATTGGTCGTTCGCGAACGACCCTACAACTCATATGAATTTCAAAGAAATATTAAGGAGAAGCTGTTGTGACGTACTTTGTAGACCGTGGCGTATGTACCTTCGCCTGTATAAGCAATGGTTAGGGTACAATCCTCGATAACGTATATCACAGATCATACCAAGTTTCTCTAACTACTTTACGTCAGCTTGCATGTTAAAAGAACGACAAGGAGTTTACCTGAATGTAGTTCATCGTTGGTCCCGCCACTGCAGCTGATTACCTGGGGTGATAGTGGTAGAACGGTAGAACGTAGTAACAGATGAAAAGATCGTAAGCAGGCCCTTCCTGTCCCTTTTGTACACAACGATAGACAGTAAATACCAGAAAACGGACGGTTTTGTCAGGCGAGCGTGAGTGCCGACTTCCTAGTAGTACGAGGTGTCTTCGCTCGAGGAATAAGTGAGACCGAACTTCTTCCAGAATCCTGGCGTTTTCTCTTGCTCCCGATTAGGAAGTGCAAGAAAGTATTAGCTAGCACGTGACTTGCAGAATATTTGTTTCTCCCCGTCCATCAACTTCAGGTATATGCCTGAGCTCGTATTACTCTCCTGGATTGTCCTAAAAATCGTTTGAGCAGCTAAAAAGGACCAAGGCCATGTCAAGTGTCCCCCCATCCAAAAAAGCGCGCACTAAGTCATCTTCGCGCAAAGCCAAGCCGTCGATATCACAGACCGCCCAAGATGAAGTCCTCATAGACTCAGAACCTACATCTACTGTACGCATCTAACACCACGACAAAAAAACAAACACCTGATATACATTTTTCATAGTCCGCATCCAAAAATGCCCGGTACGCCGAGCCCTCATCTCTCGCGGTACACTCTGGTGTCGAGCTCGGGGAAGATCAAGCAATGGAAGACCTTGCCGCATCTCAGATCGAGGGCGCACTAAATGCCGATCTTGCGGAGCTCTCCTTAGGCCAGCGTCTCGCCGCAATATCAGGTGACGCACGCCCCTCCTCATCAGACTCTGAAGAGGAGCAACTCCAATCATCACGAAAACAAAAGCAGGACACGCCGAACGTTATACCTGCACACTCACTTACCCGGACACTTATACAAGCGCTCCACTCGTCTGATTCGAGACTGCTTGAGACTTGTCTTGCGCATTCTGACCCAGCAATGGTACGGAATACCGTGCGGCGATTACCGCCCCAGCTGGCGGTACCGTTGCTCACGGCATGCGTAGAGCGTCTCGGTCGTGGTCCACGCGCAGCAAGCATGAAAGGTGGTGGTGGGGGTGCCAGTTCGCAGCGCGGAATTGGACTTGTTACATGGGTCAAGACCGTACTTGCGGTCCATAGCGGTCATCTTATGACGGTACGTTTTTGAAATAAAGAAAAACTGCTCCCTGTATACATTACAAACTAATTCAAATTTCATCTATAAAGATGCCCGACCTCGTTTCACGGCTCTCAGGTCTACACGCGACACTGACTTCCCGGCTGGCATTACAAGATTCCCTCCTCTCACTAAATGGCCGACTAGACATGGTACTCTCACAGATTGAGATGCGATCTTCCACATCACCAACACTGCTTGCACCTCATAAGAACGGGGTTCCTACAACATCACAAGGCGAGAGGCAGCCAACAAGATACGTGGAAGGCGAGAGCGAGGAGGAGGGCATGGAAGCCGGTGCGGAGAGCGGAGAGGATGAAGGAAGTGTAGAGGATATAGAGCTCGGTGGTGAAAGTGAAGCTGAGGAAACGGATGAAGAGGGGAGTGATGAGGAAGAAGAAGATTCAGACGGCGAAGGACCTGCATTAAACGGGTTCATTGATGATGAAGCAGAGGAATTCGAGGACGACGAAGAGGACGACGAGAGTGAATAATATACATTCGCTTTGCACCTTGCACATCTAGATGATCTACTTAACATCTAATCCAGTATGCACACCGTTTGAATGCAGAGCTGGCCGTGCAAAGTGAACCCAGAACAAAATAAATATCCAATTATTATAATTTGCTATAAATCATCCACCCACTCTCCGCCTCTGACACGCTGAATATAAGTTTTCACCCAAGGAGCACGCCTTCCATCCTGCACTTGTAACACAGCTGTCATCTCCTCCCTCTTTTTGTCTTCTTCACTCAGTTCTTGGCCCTCCGATCTCTCGACCTCTCGTTCCATTACATTTGCTTCTGTTCGCAAACGTCCTTCTCTTATCCTCAGCGCTGCGCGCCTACGATTCCATACCTCCGGATGGAGAGTCAGCACAAGCAAACTTACGAAGGTTGTCACCTTGTGCATCAGACTCGGTGGTGAAGAAGGGATGCGTGATGAAGACGTTGGCCAGAGTGACTTGTTCTCTGTATCAATGCCTATGCGCGCAAGGAGTTCCAGAAGAGAGGTAGAGTTGCTGGGGGGCGGAGGACCCTGCGCTTCTTGATTTTGTGCAGGCGTTGGTATGTCAGACTGGGCAGGAGGAGGTGTAGAAGGTGCAGGAGTCGCTGGGGGACCTCCATGTTGACCCTGACCTGGAGCCTGTCTTGCAGCCTCCGCGGCAGCAGCAACACCAGCTAAGCGTTCCCTCTCCCGATTGAATGGTCCGAGTACAACGTTCCGCACATTCGTCCACATCTCATATATTATCCAGGCGATGATGCACAAGCCCAAGAGCGGCTTGCGTGCTGGGGAGAAAAAGTACAGCAAGAGCAAAGTCCGGAATAATACCATCACCAAGGGGGCCAGTAGTAAACGGACCGGGATATCTGGAAGTATCTGGGCTTCACCTCCGGGTGCTGGAACGTTCGCTCCAACGCCCATCTGACCATTAACGTCGACATCGACATTAACGTTCGGGACAGCACGAAGTGTAGGAAGGCCGAGCTGCTGGAGGAGGTCATTTAATTGATGCGGTATAGTCTCGTTGGAAGAAGTGGTCGGTGTTGGTGTCGATTGTTGAGGTAATGGTTGAAGACACAATATTGAAAACGTATAGGTCAAGATCTTCAGAGCATGTACTTGTTCAACGGTAGGCCTTGAACCTGGGTTGCGGAGGGAGAGGTATGACTTGCCACTAATAATAATTAATTGAAGTACATCTCACTATGCGCAAAATTTGGCTCACTCAGTCGTCATCAATTCGTATCGCAGTCCAGAGCCGTCGCCATGCTGAGAGAAAGGGTATTGCTCATCCAGGACTGAAGGCCAAACGTATCCCTTCTTCTCAAGATTTTCCAATGCAACTATCCGAGATGGAATCACTGAGTATTGTGGGTGCTCGATAAGTCCTCTAGTGAGCTTTGACAGAGCAGCCTGATGGATATAAGCAATGAATTGGTGCTCCAGGGGTAAATGTGCGAAAGGATGAGATTGCACCCCGGGTGGCGCCGAGGGAGTGTTGGAAGGAACGTCTCTTTGTAATAAGGGAGATTTCCCTTTGTCGGATATAGATATTGTGGTTGCCGTTGCACTAGAAGATGGGGGAGCACCAGACCAACCGGAGGGGTGCACTGATAAATGGACGGTGCGTTGCTCATCTGCCGTCTGAAACTTGGGTCAGATGTTGTTCGCAAAAGTCATAGATTCCTCATTACCTTCCATATATCTGAAATTTTCTCCTGGTCCCCGAGGTAACGCCCCCTCCAGATTATGCGCTGTCCCTCGACACGGGGCTGTCCAACGCAAGACGCTGAAATTGCATGTTTGACATCGAGTACGGTAGCGAAGATAGAAACCTTGACAGTAAACGAAAGAGAGTAAGTGGGAAGCTCGATGCGAACAGCGACGAGGGACTCGGTCATCGTTGTGGTGGTGGTGACAAGTGATGAGATGGAGGTTGCATACTAGGCTAAGTCCTACGTGGAACTCGTCCACGTGACTCATGTGCGTCAATTCACCTCTTGAAGTTCATTTGATTTGACTCCGAGTCGATGTCTGCTGAATCCTCCAAGTTGTAAAACGTCCTGAGCAATGCACATTTCAGGTACATATGCCATGCGCGCAACATACGTCTTCGACTTGCAGCTCGCATGCAGGGAGTACTTTAGGTAAAGTTTTAACGCGTCCGCAGTCACCGACTCCCCGCATGCACGCAACATTAATATTAATTCTTCAGTGCCCTTTTCTCACCAGTGAGTAATTCATGTCCCTCTTTTTTCTCATTCCTACTGGTCGCGGGTCTGCATGGGCCCACCAAGGAGGTGATTCACATACATTATTATTATCCGGATATAAATATCATCAGGTATGGACTTCTTTTCTGCCCTCGTACTGCCAAATTGACTTTCGCCAGTCATACCACATCCTGAATTAACATCTGGCTGTATAGGCATACTGATTGGTGCAAACCCCACTACGCGGACATAAAAACGATTGAAGAACAAGTTGAAGGTAATTCGCTGGGCTATTTCAAATAGACTGAGAGGGGCTGCCACTGATCTATTTACACAACTATGTGAGAAGCTCGAAGCCCTTCAAGCAGGCCCTTAGGCCTTATGTGTGGCTTCTGAGCCTACCTACGCCAAGGTCAGCAAGACTACTTCAACGAGCCATCGTACAGTGGCATCAGAATAAGCATTGCCGGTGTCTCTGACAATCAAGTCTAGACTTTGAGACTTGTTGCGATGCACTCCAAGGCAAGGCGTTGTTCAAGCTCAGGCTCCGCTGGCTTCGAGTGGGAAGCGACTTTATATTTTTGTTCTTCAATAAGACGGAAGTTCGTGATGCGGCGTACTCATTAAGTACATCATGCCTAGCTTGGGGCTTCCTACCGCCAGCCTATCGTACAGTGGTATTCATCATTGAACGAAATCGCAAGAAAACACTGTTCTACGCATTGTTGAACACTTTTATACGTTGTACAGGGTGTGTCGTAAATGACATACTTGACCGAGACTTCGACTGCAAAGTTGGTACGTCTTGGTTCTGTCCTACCGATGACTGTCGATAGTCTCTTGACGCGAAAAAGACCGTTCGAAAGGCCGGCCGATCGCGTCGGGAGCTGTCACTATGACAGGTTCTAATACTTTCTGGTTGTTCTTGTTGCTGTCAGTATATCATTCAAAAACTGTTGCTGCTTCTCCGACACTCTGTCTTAGTCTTGCGCTCGGTGTTGTTTGGCTCCCTACTTGCGGCGGACCCACCCGCTGATGAAGCGCTGGACATACTGGCCTTCTTTGTTTTTAGGTATGGCGTTCTATATCACGAACATGAATGTGTTCTTATCTGGTTCTATGGCTGTTCTGCTAGCTGCAGCATCCCATTCGCTTGGGTCGCAAAAATGACTCAGTTCAATTGGGGCATGATGCTGAATGTTGCTATTGCACGATATCGTGCTGGTAAGTACGGAGGACGACAAGGCTTGTTGAGTCGGTTATGCCTTTACAACATGTCAGGTGGTTCGCCTGTAATTTTTTTGTATTGGGAACTTGTGCTGATGCCGTATCACCTCGGAACAAGAAGGACGATGAGAAGGCTGGGGTCAGGTTCGTCTGGGCGAAGGCATTTGTCCTGCATTGAGTGTATTTGATGCGGCGTTCTTTGCGTGCATTCTGTGGGCTGGATACTTGAACGGCTAGCATCTCCCGTCCTGCTTGACAGGTGTCATCGCACCGTTCGTCCCAGTGTCTCCGACATATTTGGACCTTTGATCATAATGATCCACAAGACAGCTGGAAGACATACATGGTGCCGTCTGATTAATATAGACACATGCCTTATTTGAATATCAAATTGTACTCCAGGCAAGTCGTCATGGCGCAGCGATGGTCTGCGCTCTTCTGCGCTGGATTGGACATAGACTACGACTACTACATCAAACTCGCTTCCCTCGCCGGGTGGACATGCGTCCAATAAGTGCGACGCCTTTTATGTCGGTTCCGCGATTGAACATCTATGATACTTCCAATGCGAACTTGGGCACGTGTGCATGATTAGTGTTAGGCAGTTCCTTGCACGCATTGTCTGTTAATGTTAATGTATTCAATTATGCTCCACTAGGTCGATATGTCCGTCTTGTGTATACTCTCGCACTTGAAAACTCGTTCCTGCTACTTGCTTTCTCGGAGATAAGTTGCGTGATCGTACTGACGCTTTCTCAAAATCGGAGACAACGGCTTCGTGTCAAGTCCGCATGACATCAGGCTCTACTATCTTGATTTACTATATAGTAGATTCACGAATAATGCGTGTGTTGTTCACGTCAAGAGGACACGTTTGCATTGTGTTGATGTTGAACCGAGGCATTCTGTACTGTGCCAGTCCCGTACAAATACTAGCTCCTCTCCCAGTCAATTACATTTATCACGGTCCATAAGAGTGGGAACAAAGTCCACGAAAAGTACATGAGCAGAAGGGCACAATAACTAGAGTGTTCCCTAACCATTAAAACCCCGGAATTTCCAATCATCCGGAAGCTCAAGATAGGGATGTCGTCTCAGGTGCGAAGCAGATGCGCGTTCGTCAGGATTGCTGCAAGATTATAAGGTAAGTGATGTCATCCGAACGGACTTGAATAACTTGCATTGCAAAACATAAATCCCGGAAATTCATTGCAAGATCTGACAAGGTAACTTCAGGAGGGATGGGTGGGCGCTTGTTTTGTTTCACCTGCGTACAGAATATAAGTAATGCTCCTGTAATACAAAAGTACAGGACAGACTTTAATGGTGACCATGATCAGTTCATCCTCATACCAGGGTCGCTTTCCTGTCAGCATTTCCAACAAGACGCATCCCAGACTCCAAATATCGGCCTTGACACTGTACCCTTCCTTTTGATGGCAGATGACTTCAGGTGCCATCCAAGGTAGTATTCGTTGCACGCTGGTGAATGGAAGTTTATGTATTTTATCCTCCATAGTGGAAAACTCTAGATCAGAAAGCTTGCAACTCCCATCTCTCTCAAGTAGGACGCTATCGGCTTTCAGATTCTGACAGGAATTAATAAGAATGTTTCAAACGTTTCGATAGGCCGAATCGGTTACATACCCGGTAGATTATTCGTCGCGAATGGAGGTATCTCAAACCTCGAAGTATTTGGAGCATGAAAAATTTCGAGACGTCCTCGCTGAACCTGCCCTTTTCGCGAAGACAATAGCCCAATGCACTGCCCGACACGTACTCCATAAAGCTACGTCATGTATTTGAGTCAATACTGGCAGGTGGCCATATTGCTAGAAACTCACATATTCATAACCCTTGAATGATCTACAAAGCACTCTTCAAACCCGAGATATTGGACGATATGACGATGGTTCAGATCTACCAGTAGCTTGCTCACTCTTTCGACGGAATGTACGAAAGTGGCTTGACACTGATCGTTCTCGTCTCGGATAGCTTGAGGACTATCAACTTGTTTGACGGCAACTAGTTGGGATTTGCCCGTGGTCATGCTAAGAGCCAGGTAGACCCGACCGTAAGTTCCTCTACCAATAAGCTCACCACGAATCCATTTGACGGCAGCTGTGGGTGAAAACAATGAACGATTATTTTCTGACACTGTTTCAAGAGCTTTTGAACCGTACCATTGCTGCAGCGAGCCCGACTGTCTGAAATATTTCCTGCAGGTCCTGGACTCATAACACAACAGCTGGGAATCGGATGAGAAGCTTGCTTGTTCGGCATCGCAGCTAAGGGACGCGAGGATTCGTTCTGACGCCATGAACCCGCTTAAGGTACTTATAATAGCGACGACAGTTCGAATGAATTTGGGGGCGGCGCGCTCGTGGCACTGCAATTGGGAGTCATGGATAATACCGCGGCAGTGGCGAGTTTGAGTTTGATTTGTGAGCGCGACCCTAGGACCAGGCTAAGTGGCTACTGGATTTCATTTGCATGCTGTAGCAGTAATACAGGATCGTCCGCTTAAACAACGACAACGGTTCTGCCCGACTTGTGCCCGAGACTTTCACAAGAGGTGGCAGTTGGGCGGCTGTACCCGAGATACTTTGTAGCTGGGCATCGCAACGTTTTATTTGTTGAAAAGTCTTCAAGCTTCAAAGCTTCAACCAAGGGAACCAGTGCCCATATAACAACCACCTCCTGAATCCTGATCAATTCCTGATCGAAAATTCACTTCATTCTAGAATCTAACCTCGCTCACTACGCATGATATATATCAGTACTTGTGCAAATCTCCTGCAATTCCAAATCATGTAGACCATACGGTCAAACTCTTTGGAATAAACATCGTTCGAGGTGTTAGTCAACTTTCATTTGGCAATGCGTTGGTCGTCGTTGTCAAGGATATCTGATCCTGAGTCAAAACCTCACTCCGACTCCCACCCAGATCTTGGTCGATACTTTCAACCCTTCGCACGTAGTCGTTGAACTGCTCGCTAGTCCATTTTGGTCAGGGATGCTCTGCTTAATTATCACGCGCACCTTCAACGGGGATCAAGAACTGTCTATACAGATTTCTACTCTCATCTTATCAGATACATCAAACCCATTCTTGTAGTATTATTGTCAATGAAGCTTAAGTCTGTACTCGGATGTCACAGTATACCAGCGTGTAAATCGTGATCGACTGATTGTTCAATGCTAGGCGTTATTCACAATTTGAATTAGGAGTCTGACTGACACCACAGGTATTTGTTGTCAAGAGTATGTTGTAGCTCCGAAGGGAATTTGACCGCACTACTTCTATGATACATTCTCGAGTATATCATGAGGTGCATGTTGATATCAACTAAACCTTTGATACCTCCAAAGTGCGGCCTGCAGCAGAGCTTTTATAGGCCAATTCGATCATCTCGATCACCTGTGTCGTTTCTGCCCACTTCACCTCAAGTTCCTCGTTATTACGGATAGCACCAGCAAGGTTCTTGAAGAGGCCAATATACTGACCCGGGGCATCCGAAGGCCAGCTATAGGCAACCATCAGCGCCGCCAGGAAATATGAGCGAAAAGAACGATTACGTTGTCTTTGTGATCGTCGCGCCATCGTCGGCGATATTTTCGACGATGCCGTAGATGGACTCAGGCTCCAGTCCATAACTTGGTTCAAGGATACTGCTAACAGAGGACATCGCTTTCAACTGTTCCTCTTGCGTATCGAGGCCATACTTGGTGAACATTCCCTTTGTGCCGCGTACTGCGTAGCGTAGCTGAGGGGATTTCACTGATAGGATGTGCGAGCGGAGAAGCACGGTGAACTGGTTTGGGAAAAGAGTCCCAGGATTGTAGTGCAGATAGATAGTGAACTGCAAATACATATTGAAAATGCTGCTAGAAAGCTACAATGGTATTGGACTTACGATGTCGTCAACTTCCGGTTTCGTGACACCACGGATATTTTGAATGAACGCAGTGATTTGCGCGGGTCGGCCAAAGAGTTTGAGAGCTTGGTCTAGGAGATGTGAACCGAGATCATATACTGCGCCCGCACTATCCTTCCAGGAAGACCGTATCCCTGCACGGTAACGATCATAGCTAAAGGAAGGTGAGGAAATCAAGCTATTTTGATCAACGATCGTCCTCACTGAGACTCAAATTCCAGTAGGTTACCAAGGGACAGAGGCGAAGAGGAAGGAAGTGAAAGCAGACGCTTCAGCGCGAGGTGATCCGAGTCCCAGCGTCGGTTTTGGTAGCCATAGAGAACAAGGCCTTTTTCTTTGGCAATGGCTGCAAGCTCATTTGCTTCTTTGACCGTCTCAGTCACAGGTTTATCAACGAGAACTGAAGTGACTGAGAGCAGTTTCTGCGTGGAAGAAGTATTTTGCTTACCATGTTTGCCGGCCTCAAGAGCAGCTTTGGCAAATGGGTAGTGCGTGTCATTTGGGGTTCCTACAATAACAAGCTCGATTTCAGGGTCGTTCACGACCTCTTCGACTGTCCTGTGTATTTTTGTTGTAACTCCAAAGCGCTGCTGCACCTTTCCTCCGGGATTCTGTGGGTTGCGCTCCAGGACAGCGGTAAGAGTGAAGAGTTCGGGCAAAGCGAGTACGAATGGAACGTGAAACGTGAGCCCAGCAAGACCCACACCGAGGACACAGGTCTTAATCGGACTGAGCGCCATGAGAAGAGTAATTAAGGTATAATAGTCTTGAGATCATGTCCTCTTGAATTTTATATAGAACTTTTTGGACGGCCCGAATCTGGGACAGGTCTGGAGTGTGACCATGATGTGAGAAATGGTACTGGAGTAACTGGCTGGGAGTTGTTAACCTGTGGCAGTCTGCGGCCCGGAGCGTTATAGTCACGTGCATTTGCTTTACAAAGTCACATGATTCTGGTTGAACGCGGTTGACATTAATTGGAGCTGGCTGCCTGACTCTTTGTCAGTTGTACATTCCGGAAGACTTTGGTGCGTATATCTCATTTCACGACTCCTCATGCGGACGCCTCTTGTTCTTGTTTTTCTTGCTTCCTCGCGGGTATTTGCCCAAGTTCCTCTTCCTGATCCCCCTTTCCTACCTCAAAACGCTTCAGCTGGCGCGTCTCCATCCTCTGCTGCTATTCCCAATTCGCAATGGTCTTCGTTGCTCGGAAATCTGCTTTACTTCTATGAAGCACAACGCAGCGGCAAGTTGCCTAGCACAAATCGAGTCAAGTGGCGAAACGACAGTGCCCTCACCGATGGGCAGGACGTCAAGTTGGATTTGACTGGCGGGCTTTATGATGCAGGTGGTAAGTGTCCCGTATATCATGCAGCTACGCTATATTAAAAGTTTCGTCAGACTACATCAAATGCACTTTCCCCCTGGTGAGTTTCCTCGGCTTATGCTACATGTCACCCCTCCAACTCAGTTCTAGTCATTCACCGTGATGTCAATTTGTTGGGGTGCAACGGATTTTGGAAAAGGTTCGTGCGATATCGGGGAAGTGCTCACTCGCCAATAATGTTGTGCAGGA